GGAAACAAAGACGCAACATAAATGATCCTTTGGCAAGAAATTTTTCAGTCATTATCGAACATCGCTTAGAATTTAATCACACTTTGATTGGGAAACTCAGTAATCTACATAGAACTAAACTTGCGAAGATAGTGGCTTCTGAAATGTTTTTATATTAAAAATTCGACATACAATTAATGCGCAAAATGATAGCGAAAATTTAAGATTTAAATTTTACGGAAGTCAATCGACATCACAACGCGCTTAATAAGTATTAAGTTTTACTTAACTCCGACTCCGAGATGCAATTATTATCACTTATTTAGTTTCGCGAACGCGCTGCGTGAGAGGAATCGAACGACACCAAAAAAAGGATGAGTCACTTTTAGTATAAAAGAAACTTTTAATATACGAATCTTTACGGAAATATAATGTACAATACTTAACAATTAAACGCACAAAAAATTAACACAAAATCTAATCAGTTTCAGCGGACAATTCGAAATCAAAAGAAAAGGCGGTGGTCGTCGATTTAATGTTCTGCGGTTTTTCTAAGCGGTTTACTCTTATGCGTACACGGCGGAAAGCGATAAGACCGCAAACCGGGTGTGAGCTCCTCTTTTATCATTTTCGGAGAGGAGCCCACCCTCGCGTGAAGCGCCAATAATTTTGCGTGATTTTAAAGTGGCGCATGCTCAATAGCATATAATTATTCGGCGGAACGGTTGCGACACCGTTACTTGTTTGTGTATTTGAGCGTTTTTTTATATGACAGCTGTCAATTTACGACTCTTTTTTATTCCATTACAAACAAATGTGACTTTATTATTGCCGATCGAAGATTCTAGAATTTAACAATAACTATTTTCGAGATCGAACCTTGTCTCGACTGAAAACGTATAATATATGAAAATCCTAATTACATTTTACTGCCGAAATAATTTAACTGGCGATAAGAATTATTTTGCATCTCAAACATCCCGCCCGCCTTGTCGCAACGTGACAAATGGTTGATGATGATTTCGGCGCGGATCACATTCCGATGGTGATTGATGGTGGGGCGGGCTCGCGTCGGCGCGGCGAAATTCACGTGATGATCGCGTGTTGCGAATCGATCAGCTGAGTCGACGAAAACACGTGGTGATCGCGTGATGTGAATCGATCAGCTGGAACGGCGAAAACATGTGGCAGATGTGAACGGCGAGTGTGAGATGCAGTGAGCGGTGAAAATGAGACAAGTTTTAGTGCGGTGGTGAGCGAAACAAGTGATGTGTGACAATTGATATGGTGCATGATGTGATGATTGTGTAGTGAGTGATGCTATGTGTCAATGTGCGGTGTAGGCGCGTCGTTCACGCCCGGAAGAAACACGAGCTTGACGAGTGGGCGCACGAGCTCGGACGTGGCCGTTCGGATGGTCACGACGCGTGTAATTCCGTCGTCTCCGGGGTGCAAACGCAATATGCGAGCGAGAGGCCATCGGCTCGGAGGGGTGATCTCGGAGCGCACGAGACAGAGATCGCCGACGTGGGGTGCAGGTGCATCCTTGAGCCACTTGGTGCGTGGGGCGAGTCCGTGCACGTATTCGGATGACCATCGCTGCCAGAAGTGATCCCTCATCCGCTGCAGATGACGCCAACGTGACAAGGTGGACACCGTCTGCTCTGTCAATGACGGTTCCGGCAAGGCGAGGAGCGGTGCCCCAACGAGGAAGTGACCGGGGGTCAGCGCCGAGACGTCCTCTGGATCATCTGAGAGTGCCTGTAACGGACGTGAATTCAGACAAGCTTCGATCTGGGCGAGGAGTGTGCTCAACTCCTCGAACGTGAGGGTGGTCTCGCCGATCACCCGACGGAGGTGAAACTTGGTCGACTTTACGGCGGCCTCCCACAAACCACCAAAGTGCGGGGCCGCTGGCGGGTTGAAGTGCCAGCGGATTCCTTGAGCGGTGGCGGCAAGGATGACACTTTGACCTTCGGCTGTCGCTGCGTTAAAGAGACCTCGCAGCGTCCGATCTGCCCCGATGAAAGTCGTGCCGCAGTCGCTGTAAATCTCAGCGCACAAACCCCGGCGGGAGATGAAGCGGCGCAGCGCGGCGATGAAGGCCTCCGAGGTGTAGTCCGAGACAACTTCTAAGTGAATGGCCTTCGACCAGAAGCAGACGAAGACGGCGATGTATCCCTTGTGCGCACGGTGTCCACGCCCCTTGCTGGTCCGGAGGAGGATTGGTCCCGCGTAGTCCAAACCGGTGCTGAGGAACGGTCGAGTTGGCGTTACTCGGTCCCGAGGAAGGTTACCCATCGGAGGCTGTGGTGTTGCGGCGCGCCATCGAGTGCAGGTCACGCATCGGTGTAGCTGCTGTTTGACGGTGGTCCTTCCTCGGGGCACCCAGAAACGCAGGCGGAGCAAGCCGAGAGTCAGTTGCACACCTCCGTGCAGTGTCCGTCGGTGGCAGGAATCAATCACCAGCCGAGTCAACCATGATGCCGCCGGGATGATCATTGGATGTCTTTCGTCGAGTGGTAGCTGAGCATGCTTGAGACGTCCTCCGACGCGCAGCACGCCTTGATCATCGAGGACCGGACTCAACCTCGCTAGGTGGCTTCGCGGTGGACTAGTGCGTCCAGCAGAGGCCGCAGCTACGTCCGTAGGAAAGTGGAGCGCCTGCACCACTCGCAGCCATCGAAATAAGGCGACGTCCAGCTCGTCCGGATGCAAAGTGCGGCCAAGTATGACGTCGCGTCTCGCCGGATTGAGCCATCGCCGACACCATGCAGTAACTCGCAGCAGCCTTTGTAGCGTCGGGAACCGGAGGAGGAGGTCAGGTTCGGCCGTGATCGGTGCCTTGACCACCAAACTGGTGGCTCGCTGCTCCGGGAGGTCATCCTCTGCGGCTTCGATGACGGAACAAGGCCATGCAGTCTCGTCTCCTGACAGCCAGGTAGGTCCTGTCCACCACAGTTTATGCTTAATGAGTTCGTCAGGAGTAACACCGCGTGATGCACAATCTGCAGGATTCTCTCGTCCAGCGATGTGTCTCCATTGAGCGTCTGGCAGCAGGGTCTGGATCTGAGACACTCGATTGGCGACAAAGGTTTTCCAGCGGGTGCTGTGTCCTTGAATCCAGTGGAGCGTGACCTTTGAATCTGACCACAGATGCACTGGCGTCGTTGTCAAACCGAGAGTAGAGCGCACGTGGAGCATGAGCGTGGTAAGTAGAGCTGCTGCACAGAGTTCCAAGCGAGGTAACGACACCTGCTTGACAGGTGCGACCTTGGATTTTGCCATCAACAGGTTGATTGATGTTTTCTCTGTTGCAGCGTTGCGGATGTACACCACGGCGGCGTACCCTCGCTCTGATGCGTCGGCAAACCCATGGAGCTGCAGTTGTGAATGGTCGGTCCCAGTGTTGAGCCAGCGAGTTATGCGGATGTCATCTAGAAGAGGAAGCTGATTCAACAACTGCCTCCAGCGGTGTGCGTCCTGATCAGGCAGCGGGGAGTCCCAGTCCAGCCGTTGAAGCCACGTCGTCTGAATCAGAATTTTGGCTCTGATGACGACAGGTGCGAGCCACCCCATCGGGTCAAAGAGTCGAGCCGTCTCGGCCAAAACTCGTCGCTTCGTGAAGTCGGTGATTGCACGCGGACGTATGGTGAAGGAGAACCAGTCACCTTGCGGATGCCATCGGAGGCCCAAGGTAGCGTGACTCTCTCCCTCCCATGAGTGCGGTTTGCGTTGATGCCGATGTTCCGGTGGAACTCCGGTGAGCACCTGCTGATCGTTGGCAGCCCACTTCCTCAAAGGAAATCCGCCCGCCATGCAAAGACTCCGTAGTTCCTGCTGAAGGTCGATAGCGTCCTCCAAGCTATCAGCGCCGGTGACCACGTCGTCGACGTAGCAGTCGTGTCGCAGTGCCTTGACTCCGCGTGGATATCGTGCCTCTTCGTCTGCTGCGAGTTGATGAAGAGTCCTGATGGCGAGAAAGGGTGCACACGCTAGCCCGTAGGTCACGGTCCTCAGCTCGTACTCGTGGACGTCATCAGAGCTGGTGTGGCGCCACAAGATGGTTTGCAGGCGACGATCCTCCGGATGTACAAGAATTTGTCGGTACATCTTCTCGATATCCGTGACGAGAACGTACCGATGCCAACGCCAACGAAGTAGGACATCAGCGAGTGTTGGCAAGAGATTGGCTCCAGTGAGGAGGTGTGCGTTCAGCGACTCTCCGGACCGTGTGCGCTGGGAGCCGTTGAACACGACCCTGAGCTTCGTGGTCGTGCTTGACTCCTTGAGGACCCCGTGATGCGGTAAGTAGCACCTAGGGCTGCAGGTTGTTGAAGTTGTGCTGACCTCCATATGTTGCAGGTTCTCGTATTCCTCCATGAAATCTCGATAGAGGTCACCGAAGCGAGGATCTCGTGCTCCCTTCCGCTCCATGGCTTCCAGGAGGCGCTCTGCGGGTCGACGAGTCTCGCTGAGCGATGTCGGCGGCGGTGAAGTACATGGCAGCCTCACCATGTACCTGCCACTGGACGTGCGAGTGACCGTGCGCACGTAGAAGTCTTCGCACCTGGCTTCGTCGGCGGTGAGCGGTGTCCCAGCTACTGGCTCGCGTTCCTGCTCCCAGAAGCGTCGAACCATGTTAGCGAGGTCGTGGTCTGTGGTGCACTGGAACGTGCGGCGATGGCCTTCGGGTGCTGCGGCGTCGTAGCCTCCGGACAAGATCCATCCTAAGCTCGTCTGCTGGGCGATCGGCATCCGTGATCCGCCCTTGCGAAGGCCTTCCTCGAGGATCAGCGAGTAGACTTCTGCTCCCAGAAGTAACTCCGCAGGATCGTCATCCAGGAAGCGCGGGTCGGCCAATCGAAGTCCGTGGATGTGAGGCCAGCTACGATCTTCACGTTGAGCGGTGCCTTGTTGCAATGAGATGCGCGGCAGCACAAAGGCCACCACGCGAAGCTCGGCATTGGTCACGTCAGATGTGATGTCTATCGTGACCTTGCCACGCGCTGATCCAGAGCGAGTCCCTCCGATGCCGAAGATGGACAGATCCGTTGAAGCTCGAGGCAGCCGAAGACGCTGAGCCAGAGCCTCAGAGATGATGGACACCTCGGAGCACTGATCTATCAAGACTCTAACCTCGTGTGGTGATCCGTATCGATCAGCGACCTTGACGCGAGCGGTTGCGAGAAGGACGGCCTTGTGCGTCTTAGCTTGCCGTGCAGTGACCAGTGTGGTGGCAAGTGAAGTGGCCTCAGCGGATGGTGTTGATGTGGATGCCCCGTGCAGCATGGTGTGGTGTCGTGCGTTGCAGGTGAGGCAATTCTTTTTGACTGACACCGTGCTAAGAAATGATTGCCTAGGCAGTTGAAGCACAGTCGGTTGGTCTCCACGAACGTTTTCCGCTCAACCGCAGTCTTGGCCTTGAAGCTTTTGCACGTCATCAAGGTATGGTTTTCACGGCACAGTGCACAGTGAGGTGAATCCGCGCCTTGGTGCTTCGTGACGTGCGCTTTGGCGAATCGTGATGTTTCTCCAGGTCCCTTTGTGACACTCCTCGGTCGTGCGGCGTTGAGCGTCAATACTCGTCGACTAATAAAGTCGAGAAGTGCCTCGTTCTGTGGTGGTTCGGTGGAGTCTGAAGTGGTTGACTCCCATTCGAGACGAGTGCGTGCGTCGAACAGTTCGACGACCAGGTGGTTGAACAGGTCCATCCCATGCGAGTTGATAGGACGTCCGATGCTCTCCTGTGCGTTGACTGCGGCGGTGACAGCGTTGTGGATGCGGCTCAGCTCCTCGGCGGTATCTCCCTTCATCTTTGGCACGGCGGTAAACGTGGCAAAGTTGGAGCGGATTAATTCTCTTTTGTTATTGTAGTGCTTGTCCAAGATTGCCCAAGCGCGATCGTAATTGTCACTCGTGACAGGTAGTGACTTTATCAACCTTTCAGCCGGACCTGTCAGACACGAGCGGAGGTGGTGGAGCCGCTCAATGTTCGAGATCGAATTGCTGCTCACAATGGACAGAAAAAGATCGCGAAAGGATGGCCAATCGGCGTAGGCGCCAGAGAACGGCGGCAACTTGATGCGCGGCAGCGAAGACTTCGATGCGACGTCGACGGATGGAGATACGTTCGGCTTCCGGAAATGTTCGGCATAACTATCCAAGGTACTGCGTTGTGCAACGTACAGATTTTCCGTATCTCCATGCAACTCCGACTTGTAGTATTCGCTCTCACAAAATTTTTCTTTCAGAGCTGCGCGAATGAGATCATGCTGTGCCTCGAATTTCGTCCACAGCTGATCTAAGATTCTGGTGCGTGTAGATACGGCACTGGCGGTGATGTTGGTCGTGCCCAGCTTCTTCAGGTATTCCACGGAGCGCGAAATACGGACCTGGATCTCACGTTGGCAATCGATCAACGTGTTCACATCCATGGTGAACTACGAGCACTCACGAACTACACGAAGACACGTTCACAAACTTGCGGGTGCCGGCGAGAAGATCCGGCTCGAAGGACCAGAAATATGTTCGCGAACGCGCTGCGTGAGAGGAATCGAACGACACCAAAAAAAAAGGATGAGTCACTTTTAGTATAAAGAAACTTTTAATATACGAATCTTTACGGAAATATAATGTACAATACTTAACAATTAAACGCACAAAAAATTAACACAAAATCTAATCAGTTTCAGCGGACAATTCGAAATCAAAAGAAAAGGCGGTGGTCGTCGATTTAATGTTCTGCGGTTTTTCTAAGCGGTTTACTCTTATGCGTACACGGCGGAAAGCGATAAGACCGCAAACCGGGTGTGAGCTCCTCTTTTATCATTTTCGGAGAGGAGCCCACCCTCGCGTGAAGCGCCAATAATTTTGCGTGATTTTAAAGTGGCGCATGCTCAATAGCATATAATTATTCGGCGGAACGGTTGCGACACCGTTACTTGTTTGTGTATTTGAGCGTTTTTTATATGACAGCTGTCAATTTACGACTCTTTTTATTCCATTACAAACAAATGTGACTTTATTATTGCCGATCGAAGATTCTAGAATTTAACAATAACTATTTTCGAGATCGAACCTTGTCTCGACTGAAAACGTATAATATATGAAAATCCTAATTACATTTTACTGCCGAAATAATTTAACTGGCGATAAGAATTATTTTGCATCTCAAACAACTTTACTTCTTGTAAATAATTCCCGGATTCCAAACAAAGATATTCCTTTTTATAAACTTATAACGAGAACTTTTCTTCCTCCTTACCTCTCTCAAAATCATAATGGATTTCCCGCGAGATTCGTGTTTTCTTCCTCCCTCGAGAAATCATAATGGATTTTCCGCACTAACGGAGAGATTCGTGTTCAAAATATGCAGTATTAATAATCACAATTAAGACTGCATTACTGATTCGATTGTGAAACAAACAGCGATAGATTTATATTAATTTTAATATCAAAAATTGGAAGGCTTGTAGAAATTAAAAATTATTTAAAAAATAAAATATTTAGGCCAACTAAATGAGCAATAAAATCTTAGGGTAAATTATTTAAATGTATTTAGATCAATAGATATATTACTGCAGATATATGGTATTTAGATCTGAATAGATTTACGCTAGTAGATCGAGTTGGTTTTACATACATACATTAAATTTAAATTGATATTCGAAGATTTACAGAGAATTAGATAGCAATGAAGATTTACATAGATGTTTTAAATCTACTTAAATTTATTTTTAGATCAAACTTTTTCCCGGACTTCTTACTTTTGAAGTAGTAGCGAAGGAAGGGAGAGGATAAATTCAAATTCTGACGAGTGTTTTCTAAAGTAGAGACTTCAAGCACAGTATATACAGTAGCGCAACTTTCTGTCGGCACTTTTGATGTCAGTGAGGGCCAAAACGGAGTGCGCATGCGCGAAATAGGTAAGTTGCCCAGTATCGCCATCTGAACTCTCTCTCTTTTCATCCTTTATTTTCCGTTTTGTCAAACTCACATAGAACTTATTATCGATGAGCTCCATCGGAACGATCCGTGATTGGCGATCCGCTGGTTCCGCTTCCGCGTAATCCGCTCCATAGGATGCCGGCCTTACGATAAACTAATCTAAACTGAATGAAAATTACTACAAATAAATTGTTAATATATTGGAAAAAGCTAAAAATATATAAAATTTGGAAAAATGAACGATAGTAATTAATTAATCTTAAATACATAAAATTTATATATACATATAAGAAATCTACCAATATATATATAATATATTATACTTAAAAAATATTATTAGTTGTAAAATGTTATGAAAGTTAATGTAATATATAATTTACTTAAATAAAATGAACAAAAATATGTGGCAACATATTATATTTACATAAAAGCACATACATATATATAGATAAGAAAATTATATTAGTATTAAATATAATATTGTATATCTGTATATGTATATGTATGTATATGCAAGTGTAAAATAATTTAAAAAATATATTATTAAATGAAATGAGTGAATATATCTGAGAAAAAAATTGACATATGTATATGTCTAAAAATTAATTTAAAATGTGGAAAATAAACAAATCTATTTAATAAAGAAAAAGAATATATTAATATCTTATGTTAAAATAATTTGTAACGGCGCAGCCGTTACTAACGCCTCGCGGGCCGATCAGCCGCCCGCCACGTGAGGCTTTGGCGCCTAAAGGCGCCCCTAATCGTTCCACACGGGCGCCCCCACCCCGGGGGCACCCCACCGCGATCCCGGCGCGGTACCCCCGCCACGGACTCGACGCGGAGTAGGGGACCGCCGGACGGGTATATAAGCCGGCTCGGCGGACGAGCCGGCACCAGTCCCGTTCCAAATCTCCCAGACCAGGCAACGGGCTTCTCGTTGTGAAAGTGCCGGGTTTCTCGGTCGCTGGTTCCTACCGTTAGTATCGGGCAACGGGTTTCTCGTTGTAACACCGGGTTTCCCGGTTTCCGGTCTCCTCCTGTAATACGCCGGGCGACGGGCTTCTCGTCGTTACACTGGGTTTCCCAGTTTCCGGTCCATCCTGCTATCCGCCGGGCGACGGGTTTCTCGTCGTTACACTGGGTTTCCCGGTTTCCGGTTCATCCTGCTAACATCCGGGCGACGGGCTTCTCGTCGTTATACTGGGTTTCCCGGTTTCCGGACATCCTTATAAGCTATATGCCGCCGTACGTTGGCTTCACCGCTCTCCGTTTGGAATAAAGGCGTTACGCCCCGTACCTAGTATCTCCAGCATCGTATACCGGGTAAATTGTAAGTCCCATCAGGACACCGCTATAGGCTATGCGCCTCCACCTGTTGTATCTCCAGCATCGTATACCGGTAATTCGTAAGTCCCATCAGGACACCGCTATAGGCTATGCGCCTCCGCCTGTTGTATCTCCAGTATCGTATACCGGGTAACTTGTAAGTCCCATCTGGACACCGTTATAGGCTATACGCCTCCGAGCTTGTAAATACACCGGACGCTCCGTTCGAGCCTCACGCTTTGTACATATACCGGGTAGCTCTTAAGTTCTTTGTTCAGGCTTTACGCCACCGGACGCTCCGTTCGAGCCTCACGCTTTGTACATATACCGGGTAGCTCTTAAGTTCTTTGTTCAGGCTTTACGCCACCGGACGCTCCGTTCGATCCTCACGCTTTGTACATATACCGGGTAGCTCTTAAGTTCTTTGTTCAGGCTTTACGCCACCGGACGCTCCGTGCGATCACCGTTCACTACGTATA